CATCCTACGTGTTAGATTTCAGCACTGTCCAGTTGGACAAGGACTTGTTTTATGAGGAGGAGCCGGTGGCTATCCTAGACCGGCATGTTCGTCAGTTGAGATCGAAGAGTTTTCCTTCTGTTCGTGTTCAATGGAGAGGTCAGCCTCCTGAGGCATCGACCTGGGAGTCCGAGTCCGATATGCGGAGCCGTTATCCCCATCTTTTCCCCGACTTAGGTACTTCCTTCTTCTGTCCGTTCGAGGACGAACAGTTGTTTTAGAGGTGGAGAATGTGATGACCCAAAAGGTCATCACTTGCTTTTAAATTAAATTCTGTGTTCCGAGGCCTTAAAATCCTCTTTTATCTTCACCTCGATTTGCATGCGCAGTCCGGGCGTGTAGCCGGAAAGCTTAAATGAGAAAATCTGTGAAAAATGATAGATTTTGACTATAAAATGAATTAATATGACTTCGGTCAACGTTTTGGGTAAACAGACCCGGACCCGTGATGTGACGATCCCGGAGGGTCCGTAGGAAAATATGGGACTTGGGCGTATGCCCGGAATCGAATTCCGAGGTCCTAAGCCCGAGAAATGAATTTTTAAAGAAAATTGTTTTCTGGAATTGTTTAAAGTATTTTGAAATAAAATTTGATTAGAACATGATGGTATCAGGCCCGTATTTTGGTTCCGGTTCCCGATACAGGTCTTATATATAATTTAAGATGATTCTGTGAAATTTGGTGAGAAACGGATGTCATATGACGTGATTCGGACCTAAATTGCAAAAATTGATGTTTCATGAAGTTTGATAAAAATTCTTTGATTTTGAGGTTTAATTCGTTGTTATTGAGGTTATTTTGGCGATTTGATCACACGAATAAGTCTGTAGGATATTTTTGAGGTTTTGTGTGCACTTGGTTTGGAGTTCCGAGGGCTCGGGTGAGTTTCGGGTAGGTCCCGGGATGTCTTAGGCTTAAAAACATGGATGTTGTAGGTTCAGAGAAGTGCAAACCTCTGAACCCGCAATGCTGACCGCAGTAGTTTTTGTGCTGTCCGCACTGGTGACTGTGCGACCGCAGTCGATTTTGTGCGGTCCGCACAGACTCACTGGTCCGACTTCGGAAGCTCATATCTTTTGATCTACAAGGAATTTGGGGATTATTCAAAAACAAAAGTTGTAGATCTTTGAATATAGTTTTCAGAAACATATTATAATAGGCATTTGGACATCTGTAGCCAAAATACTAAGACCTGTCACTGCAGAACACAAGTAGTGCTGTGCGGCTACAGTTGATTTTGTGCGGTCCGCACAGGGCACCTGAGAATAGTATATTTGGACGGGATTTTCAGTTATTTTTCATTTTTCAAAACCCCAAAAACATAAGAGGCGATTTTTCAAACAACCTTTCTTCTCCAAAATGTTGGTAAGTGATTTCTAACTCATTTTCTTCACTCCTTAACATCTTTTAACATGATTTCAACTCAAAATCAATGATTTTCATGGGGGAAAATTGGGTGTTTTGGGTAGAACCTAGGTTTTTCAAAAATTGGGGATTTGGACCTCGATTTGAGGTCCGATTTCAAAACAAATAATATATTTGAGTTCGTGGGGGAATGGGTAATCAAGTTTTGGTTCGAACCTCGGGTTTTCACCATGTGGGCCCGGGGGCGATTTTTGACTTTTGGGTAAAACTTTAGAAAATTCATTTTCATGCATTCAAATTGATTCATTTAGTGTTTATTAATGTAATTAAGTAACTTGTGACTAGATATGAGCGAATTGGTGGTGGAATCAAGGGGTAAAGCTATAATTGAATCGTGAATTATGTTCGTGGCATCGAGGTAAGTGTTTGGTCTAACCTTAGCTTGATGGATTAGGAGTTGAGTCCTATTTGCTATGTGGTAATTGTTGAGTACGACGTATAGGCATGGTGACGAGTATCTATACATTGGTGTCTAGTATTCCCGTGAGTCTCTATATTGTGATTATCATGACTTTGTTGTATCTTTCATGCCTTGGTGATGGTTTCTAATTTTTGTATAAAGTTTGTGGAAAGAATTGTGACCTATGAACATTGAGGAGTGTTGGCTCAAGTTGTATAACAAATTGTGAAAGTATAAGTGACAATTGAACTTTTAGAGCACTGGCTCGAGTACTGAAATGAGTTGTGAAGGTATAAGTGATAATTGAACCTCTAGAGCACTGGCTCGAGTTGTGAAGTAAATTGTGAAGTAAAAGTGATAAAGAGAAGAGATCATTATGTTGTCACTCTTGCCGGGCTATTGTTGATTTATTTGTTATCTCCCTTGCCGGGACGTGGATGTTATTGATGTTGTTCCCTTGCCGGGATTTAATTGTTGACTTGTTGCTCCCTTGCCGGGATTCTTATTGCAAATTTCCTTTATTTCCTTGCCCCATTATTTGTGATTGTTGTTTGGGCGAGGAAGAGAGTGTAAAGCACGAAGGGTGATGCCGTGCCGCACGACATACCATTTTTTGCCTATTATATTGATTTCATGGTGAGGAAAGAGTGTAAGGCACGAAGGGTGATGCCATGCCGCACGATGTACCATTCCGTGCCTATTGTATTGATTCTTATGGTGAGGACGATAATAAAAGCACGAAGGGTGGTGCCGTGCACTTGTCCTTGATTTCCCTGATTCTTGCTGATAATTGAGTCATGTTGTCCTTTACGTTTATTTACTGATTTTCTGTTGTTATTTGATTTTATTTTGAGGTTATAGATTCCCTTACCCTATTTGCCTTGTGATTGTTGTTTGGGTGAGGAAGAGCGTAAAGCACGAAGGGTGATGCCGTGTATTGTTTTGGTGAGAGAGAGTAAAAGCACGAAGGGTGATGTCGTGCACTTGTCTTTGATTTCCTAATTTTTATTGATAACTGTGTTACAGTTTCTCTACACTAAATTGCTGGCTTCCTGTTGATACTTGTTGTTTCCCCGCAGCATGTTTCCCCCCTCCCATACTTGACTGTATATGACTGTTTCTTTCTGTACTTCTTTTCTGCTGTATATAGTTAAATTGCATAGGTTTATTTGGTAGTCTGGTCCTAGCCTCGTCACTACTTCGCCGAAGTTAGGCTAGGCACTTACCAGCACATGGGGTCGGATGTGCTGATACTACACTCTGCACTCTTTTGTGCAGGCCCCAGTGTTGTAGACTTCGGACCACAGTGGGATTGCTGATCCTTGTTCATCAGGCGACCCGAGGTAGTCCTGCAGGCGTACACAGGCCTTGGCGTCTCCTTCAATCTACTATTCTTGTTCTTTCATGCATTCCAGAGACAGTGATGTATTGATTTCTTTCAGACCTTTATTTGTAGTATTCTTAGACCGTTTGTGAAACTGTGACACCAGTTCTGGGTAGTCGAGACTCAAACAGTTGTAATAGATATTCATGTTCAGATGGCTTATTTTTTTTCTTCCGCTTATGTTATATTCCGTCGTTTAAATGTTGTTCCTTCGTAATTGTTAATGAGAATAAAATTGGTAAAAAGGTAGATGGTTCAATAATTGGCTTGCCTAACTCACATTAGTAGGCGCCATCACGACTCACGAGGGTGGGAAATCCGGGTTGTGACAGGACCGCCTCACATAGCCAACCTCCGGTCCAAATATCGCCTTCCTCCCCACGTCAAAATTGTTCCGGCCGGAAGCGACATTGTGGAGGTTCATCGACCTGGATATTGTGCCTTCTATGTCTATCTGTTCTTGATTGGTTATACTCTTCCTCTCCTTCCGCTAGCGGAGGAGTTTTGCCGATTTTACAATGTCTGCCCGGCGCAACTCTCCCCTTATTTGTATAAAATTTTCTTGATGTTGACGAAGTATACAAAGTTGTTTGGTGTTGAGGTCGACGTTCGCCACCTGCTGCATTTATTTTCGCCCAGTTTTTGCAGAGGTACTTTGATACACCTACGACATCGTGGGACCAGAGGGTTGGTGATTGGGATGGACGACAAAACGAATCGGAAGTTCTGGCATAAGTACTTCTTCATCAAGACCGAGCACCTGGTAGCGGACCCGACTGGGTTTCCCGAGCAATGGAACTATAATTGTAAGTATCTTACCGTATGCTCGTTATTTTCTTTCGTTCTTTCATTTTCGGCTCATTTGCGGCTTCCTTGTTTTTCAGCTGAGAGGCGTGTACCTTCTCCTGTATTTGATATTGAAGATTGGGTGGCTCGCGTGTTACCCCACATCGTGGGAATTCGTGATTGGGCGTCCTTTCACAAGCGTTTTGGACCCAAGATCCCGTCCAGTAAGTGTCACTTTTACTTCAGCTTATTGTTGTTTACCATTGCTCTTTGATGCGACCACCCTTTGGTGCTAGGTCGGCGAATTTCCAAGAAGAAGGCTCCAGTACTTGCATTACGCCAGGCTATCGTGTCGGCTAGAATGCAATTTGCCTTAGCTGAGTCTGCTCGAGGAAGTCAGATTCAAGTTCCGCCGATGAGGGACTCTGCCCCTTAAACTCTTGCCGTGCGGGATGAGATCTCTTCCTAGCCCATCTATCATCTTGTAGACGAGTCATCTAGTGGCGATGACTCACCGTCGAGGAAAAGGCGAAGGGTAGAAATCGGAAAGGCCGTTGTCGCTGACATCATACCAGAAAAATGCATCGCTTTGGGAACGGAATCCGCGCTTACACCAGATGTAGAGACCATTTTCATGGCGGGTGCCATTATGGAAAGGAGGCCCTCTGTAGTTGAGGAGGTTCGTGGTTGCGGAGAAGCTTGCACGGGCCGCAGAAAGTGGCGCGTCATCGGCGGCCGGGGGAAGTAGAGGGGTCCATGCGGGGGACGACGGCTCTGGCTCGGATGTCGACCCTGAGAAGGTAGGGGCCTTCCTGGAGAGGAATACTCGTGTGGAGATAAGGACGGAGGGTCCTAACCGGCACATAGTCGTTCCCGTGGACTACGACCTTTTGGCCAACTCAGAACGGGCGGTGCTGTCCTTTGCTCCCCTGTGCGCGGCTTCTAAAAACACGGTGCTATAGGCGATGAACGATGCAGAGTTGTCGTTGGGTATATCTGGCATGGCTCCGCGAGTAAGTGCTTTTTAATGTTAGGATTTGTTTCGCATGTGTATTTGCTCATACTGACTCCTTTCTTTTGCATGTCAGACTCTTATCATGGGGATCGAGCGTGACCGGCGGGAGGAGCAGAGGACGGCCATTTTTAAGAAGATGACCTTCAAATACAAGGAGTACCGTACTGAGCACCGAACATTGGCCGACTTCCTTAACCAGGATGGTGAATTTCAGTCGCTTCGTGATGGGCTTAAACAGAAAGATGATGAGTTGACGAAGAAAGATGAAGAGCTAAGGGAGAGGGACGATGAGCTTATGAGGGCCATCGGTAGGTGCAGCGAGCTTGAGGCAGCTCTAAAGTCCAAAGAGGACGAGCTCGAGGTGAGCAAGGGGGTGATGGCCGAGAACGCTGACCTTCAAATGCAGGTGGCATCCTTAACGGCTGAACTCGAGCAGAAGGAGGCGAAAGCTGTCGATCTAAGGGGTGAGCTGAGTGCCAAGGTCGAAGAATTGAGTCGTGTCGAGAAAGGTAGAATGGCCGCTATGGCTGAAGCGGCGGCTCTAGAAGATGCCCTCTGCGTTTGCAGGTCCGAGCGAGCTAATGAGGTGGAGACATCGGAGCTAAATGTGGTGAGGTTAGAAGAAAATATCCATGGTTTAGAGGCAGAGTTGTATGGGTTGGAAGAGCAGGTCGTTGTATTGAGGGCCGAGGAGGCGCGACGACAGTCACAACCGTCCACATCTCATACTTCTGCCGATATCGGTGTGTCATGGGAGTTGTATGAGATCTGGGTTCACGCCGAGGCTCAACTTGACGTGTATAAATCTTTGAAGGCTGTCGGGAAATTTTCCGAAGCAGAGCTTAAGTCGTCTGTGTCAAGGCACGTGCAACTCGTGAAGCTTGTGGTTACAACCTTGGTACGCCTGATGGGGATGAGGATGACAACGCCGCGAATAGGCTTGCCTCTGATCCTTGGTATGATGATGAGTACGCCGATGGGATGATGTGGCGTGAAGCTGTTGTACTTAGTCTTTGTTTTGCTTTGATATTTTTGTCAGGGCGTCTTTGAGCCCTTTGTAAAAAGTGTTGTAATTTGATAGTTGAAATGGAACCGTTCCTTTTTGCTATGTATTTCTTGATCCCCGATCTCTTTTCTTTTTACTATGTGGGAAGCCCCTGATTTTTATCGACTGTTTGTATATGGTTGATATTGGTTGAGTCGAACATAGCCTGACCTAAGGTTTAATTTAGCTTTAATGAGATCGAGGTTTGATGAGGTCGAACGTCGAGCAATTCGAGCGAGGTCGAATATGAAGTAATTAGAGCGAGGTCGAATGTGGCATAATTCGAGCGATATCGAATGTAAGATAATTCGAGCAAGATCGAACGACATAATTCGAGCGGGGTCGAATGTAAAATAATTAGAACGAGGTCGAATGTAATATAATTCGAGCGAGGTCGAATGACATAATTCGAGCGAGGTCGAATGTAAGATAATTCGAGCGAGGTCGAATGACATAATTCGAGCAGGGTTGAATGTAAAATAATTCGAGCGAAGTCGAATGTAAAATAATTCGAGCGAGGTCGAATTTAAAATGTAAAGTGACTTGGTGGAGTGCAAAGATGCTGCTTTATTTCATTCATTGGAGAATATTACATATTTCTGTTTCTTCCATACATATATTGGAGAAGTTCCAGTGTACCTAGTCCCTTCATCGTTCGACCTAGAGAAGTAGTGGGCATGCGGGGCGATGAATTTTACTTGAACTTCGAGACATCCCCTTCGTCGCCTCATTAAAAACCTCCCCGAGAAAACCCAATTGGGACAAAACCCGAGCGAGGGAAAAAGAGTACAACTTGGAGGGCGTCCATTTTCAAAAGTTGAAGTATTTGAGGTGGGCGACGTTCCAATTGTTTTGTAGTAGTTTTCCCTCCATTGTTTCTAGCTGGAACGATCTTTTGTTTGCTACTGCCGTGATTTTGTATGGCCCGTCCCAATTGCTTCCTAGTTTTCCTTTTCTTGAATCTTTGCTCGCCTGTGTTTTGTCCTTGAGCACATAATCTCCGACTTTGAGTGGTCGTACTTTGGTTTTTTTGTGTTAGTACCGTTCTGCTTATTGTTTTTGGGCTATCATTCTTATGTAAGCCATGCCTCTTCGCTTCTCTGCTTTGTCGAGGTCTTGTTTCCTGTTCTCGTCGTTGTTTGGTCCGCTTTCATTAGAGTATCTCAAACTAGGTTCCCCGACCTCGACTGGTATTATGGCATCAGTCCCATAGACTAGTGAATATGGCATTGCTCCTGTGCTTGTTTTTGGCGTGGTGTGATATGCCCACAGTACTTCTGGTAGCAGTTTCGGCCATAGTCCCTTGGTGTCCTCAAGCTTTTTCTTCAAGATGTTAGTATTGTTTTGTTAGAGGATTCGGCCTGGCCGTTACCAGCAGGGTGATATGGCGTGGAGAGTATTCGCTTGATGTGCCATTTTTCGAAAAATTTGGCAATCTTTCTTCCGGTGAATTGGGGTCCGTTGTCACAGCTGATTTCTTTGGGGATGACAAAGCGGCATATGATGTTTCTCCATATGAATGCGATAACTTCCTTTTCGCGTATTTGGGTGAACACACCTGCTTCTACCCACTTGGAAAAATTGTCAGTTAAAACCAAAGAAATCATATATTACTTCGCCCTGCTGGAAGGGGCCCGACAATGTCCATTCTCCATTTGATGAACGACCATGGCGATGTAACCGAGTGGAGGTGCTCGCCTGCTTGGTTTATCATAGGAGCGTATTTTTGGCACTGCTCGCACTTTTTGACGTAGTCAGCGGCTTCCTTCTTCATTGTGGGCCAATAATAACCCGCTTGAATGAGGCATCTGACGAAGGTTCGGTTGCCGGTATGGGCGGCGCAGTGGCCTTCGTGTACCTCCTCGAGGACGGGTCTTGTTTGGTTCGGCCCTAGGCATTTTGCCAAGGGGCCTCCAAACGTGCTTTTGTATAGGTCGTGGTTTATGATGTTGTACCTGGCCGCCTGCATTTGAAGCTTTTTGGCTTCCTTTTTGTATGACGGGAGTACTCCCTCCTGCAATATGTTATAATACGGTTGCGCCAGTCCCAAGTCAAATTTACAGAGTGTACCTCAAGTTGGTCTATTGATGAGTGGAGGAGGGTGACCACGTTTTCTTTTGTAATGTTTTTGGTGGCCGCCGCTAACTTGGCGAGGCCGTCTGCCTCGATTGTTTGTGTTCGAGGTATCTGGTCGAGTTGACAGTCGTCGAATTCTGGTAGCAGTTTATGAATTTCTGCCTGGTACTTTTGTAGCCTCTGTTCTTTAATTTAGAAAGTCCACGTGACTTGGTTGATGACGAGTTGTGAGTCACATCAGAGGATGACTCGTCGTGCTCCGTATTTGAGGGCTAGCTATAGCCCTGCAATTACGGCCTCATACTCGGCCTCATTGTTAGTCATATCGAGGCACCGTATGGATTGGCGGATGACTTCGCCTGTTGGGACCTCGAGTATGAGTCCCATTCCAGATCCTGACGCGTTGGATGCGCCATCGCTGTATAGGACCCATAGGTCGGATAGCCCAGGAGAGGTACGAGTAGTTTCCTGTTTGACCTCGGGCATTATTTTGGCACTGAAGTCGGCGACGAAGTCGGCGAATACATGCGATTTTATCGCTGTTCGCGGCTGATATGTTATATCGTGCTCGCTCAATTCATGGCCCACTTGGCCAATCTCCCCGACAGTTCGGGCTTATGTAGGATTCTCCTTAGGGGGAAGGTCGTCACCACCGATATGGGGTGGCATTGAAAGTAGGGTCTAAGCTTTCGTGAAGCTACGACCAATGCCAATGCCAACTTTTCGAGGTGGGGGTACCTTGTTTCGGCGTCAACTAGGGTTTTGCTGATGTAATAAATTGGAGATTGCGTACCTTTGTTTTCACGGACTAGTACTGCACTTACTGCGACCTCCGACACGGCCAAGTATATTAGGAGACGTTCGCCCGTTTCTGCTTTGGCTAGTAGCGGGGGAGAGGACAAGTATGCCTTTAGTTCTCTTAAGGCCTTGATACATTCTGTATTCCGCCGGAGCCCGTTGTCCTTCTTCAGCATGTTGAAGAATTTATGGCACCTGTCGGAGGATCATGAGATGAACCTCGACAGGGCGGCTATACGGCCTGTCAACTTTTGCACCTATTTCTTGCTGGTTAATATTTCAGATATTCCCTCAATGGCTTTGATTTGGTCGGGGTTGACCTCGATGCCTCTTTGTGATACCAGGAAGCCGAGGAACTTTCCCGAAGTTACGCTGAAGGCACATTTTTCGGGGTTCAGCTTCATACCGTATTGCCTTAGTATACTGAAGGCCTCTTTCAGGTGGTCGATATGGTCCTCCTTCCTTTTCGATTTTACCAACATGTCGTCTATATAAACTTCCATTATTTTGCCGAGTTGGTCCTTGAACATCTTGGTGACTAACCATTGGTAGGTCGCCCCTGCGTTCTTCAACCCGAATGGCATGACTCTGTAACAGTACGTTCCCTGATAGGTGATGAAAGTAGTCTTTTCCTGGTCATCCCCTTCCTTGAGGATTTGGTTGTAACCTGAGTAGGCGTCCAAGAAGCTTAGCAACTCGTGCCCTGCTGTTGCGTCGATGAGTTGATCGATATGAGGCAACGGAAAGGAGTCTTTTGGGGAACGCCTTGTTAAGGTCCGTGAAATCCACGCACATCCGCCATTTCCCATTTTTCTTTTTCACCATGACTACATTGGCGACCCATTGGGGGTATTTTGATTCTCGGATGGAACCGTTAGCGAGTAGTTTATCCTCCTCACCGCTAACGGCCTCGTTGATTGCGGCGTTGAATTTTCTTCTTACTTGTCGTACAGGAGGGGTAGAGTGGATCGACGTTCAACTTGTGTGTGGAAACGTCTTTTGGTATACCTGGCATATCTGCATGGGATTTAGCGAACAAATCGGCGTTATCAATTAAAAATTTATGAAATCTACCTGGTTCTGAGAGTTTATGGCCGATGTAAGCCTTTTTGTTGTTGTCTCTATTGTCTAGTTGGACGGGATCGAGGTCTTCTACCGTCGACCCTACGGCTTCCACGACGTCGGGGTCCTTGATGACGTCTTTTGGTGCGTCGAGTTCGGCCCCCGACTTTTGTAATTGCTACGCTTTCGAGTCTGTTCCTTTTAACTGTTGAGTGTATGTACAATCTTGAGCGATGCAATAGCATTCTTGGGATATGCATTGTTCGCCTCAGATGCTGAATATCCCCTACGGAGTAGGGAACTTGATTACTTGATACAGACTGGACAGGATGGCCCTCATGGCGTGTATCCATGGTCTCCCTATGATGGCGTTGTAAGCTGTGTCTTGGTTCATGACATGGAACGTTGTTTCTAGGGTGATTCCCCCGGCCAGAACGGGTAGCGTTATCTCCCCTGAGGTTCGCTCAACTGCATTGTTGAAACCTGTTAGTGTTATGCAATGTGGTACTATCTTGTCCTGGAGTCTCATTTGTGTGAGAACTCGAGGGTGGATAATACATGCGCTGCTTCCGTCGTCTACCATTATACTTTTTACATCAGTATCCGAAATACGTAAAGTAATGACACGAGCATCGAAGTGAGGAAAAGTCAAACCGTGGGTATCTGACTTATCGAAGATGATACTGTCTTCGAGGTCATCATACAGTTCATGGGTGATCGAGCGCTTCAGTTTATGTGTGGTGGTAAACTTCACATGGTTGATCGCTGCTTCATCGCCCCCACTGATGATCATTTGGATGGTGCGAGCGGGGGAGGGTGGTTTTGGAGGGCCTTGGTGTTGTTCTCGTCCGCGGCCAAAGTTGGCTCGTCCTCGGTCGCTCATCAGCTCCCTCATGTGCCCTTGGTGAAGCATGTTCACTACTTCTTGCCGTAGGGTTATGCAGTCCTCGGTTTTGTGACCCCGCTCCTGGTGAAATTCACAGAGGACATTCGACTTTCGGGTA